TTCGATTATGTCTTGCCTTATTGGATACACTTTGGACAACTATTCTTTTGAAGAACTCCCTATATTCTACAAGACCGTTTCAAAGTAATTTTTCACCCGAACATAGTAAGGTTCCTTTTGTAAAAGAAAAATCTATTATTTGTCATTACTTTAATGAAATTATGCATTTCCCTCATTCTCTTCATGGAAAATATTTTATATATTTATATATTACATTATTATAGCTATTTTTCGGTAAAAATATAATAAATTTTTTGTCCATAACCCGAAAACATTCTTTTCCATTCGTAGGTCTCCAGTTATCAATTGCTCGAATAATGATATTTTCGAACCAAATGTTGATTTTGAAAATGATATGTGTCTAGATGAATCCGAGGGTTATAAAGATGACGATGAATATGAATTGAACCATAAACTTTTCAGATTGTTAAAACAAGAAAATAAGTAGATTTTGCCTCATCAAGAGATGACCGAGACAGTGAATTTAAGTACAGAGGAAGATAAAATGAGGTCAAGATCAGTACCTCACTCTCAGTAGAAATGAGGAAAAACCTTATAAACCTATTACATGAGTTTAAAGATATGTTTGCTTGGTCATACTGGGATATATCGGGTTTGGATATAGACGTTGTTGTAAATAAGCTACCAATAAAGCCAGAATGTAAGTCGGTACAACAAAAGATTCGAAGCATGAGATCAGATATGTTGTTGAAAATAAAAGAAAAAGTGAAATTGGATTCTTACAAGTGTCTAGATATCCCGAATGGGTTGCTAATATTATGCTCGTTCCAAAGAATGATGGGAAGGATCGAATGTGTGCTGATTATCGAAATCTCAATCTTCTAATCCCTAAAGATAACTTCTTATTTCCTCATATTGATACCCTAATTGACAACACAGCTAAGCATGCTCTTTTCTCCTTCATGGATGACTTCTCAGGGTATAATCAAATCAAGATGGACCTCGAATACATGGAAAACATAATATTTATAACAATGTGGGCACATTTTTCTATAAGGTGATACCATTTTGACTAAAGAATGGAGGGGCAACATATCAGCGAACCGTGGTCACTTTGTTCAATGACATGATACACAAAGAAATAAAAGTATATATAGATGATATGATTGCTAAATCACAAACCAAAGAAGAACATGTTGAAGTTATGAGGAAGCTATTTTTGAGATTAAGGAAATACCAATTGAAGCTTAACCCGACCATGTGTACATTTGGGGCCACTTCGGGGAAGTTGCTCGTGTTCGTAGTTAGTGAAAATGAGATAGACCCTAAAAAGGTTAAGGTAATCCAAGAGTTACGACCACCAAAAACTCCAAAAAAAGTTCGAGGATTCCTAGGGAGGCTAAATTATATTACCCGATTTATCTCTCAATTAACAGAGAAGTGTGATCCAATCTTCCTCTTATTGAGAAAGAAAAACCCAATAATTTGGGATAATAGTTTTCATGAAGGTTTTGATAAAGCCAAGCACTACTTATCAAATGCACCAGTTCTAGTACCCCCAATTCTAGAAAGCCACTGATTTTGTACCTAATGGTGTTTGAAAATTCAATGGGGTGTGTACTAGTACAACATGATGAAACCAGAAAGAAAGAGCGGGCTATTTATTATATTAGTAAGAAAATCACAGTGGGCAAACAAATCATGAGGTTAGAATATCATTGGTCTACAATGGAAGGGAATTGTATCAGCTATACCTGCAAATATCATAAGTGCCAAATCTATAGTGATAAAATTCACATGCCTCCATCATATTTACATGTAATGTTTGCACCATGGCCTTTCTCAATGTGGGGCATGGATGTCATTGGACCAATCACACTAAAGGCTTCTAATGGGCATCACTTCATCTTTTTGGCCAACAATTACTTCACCAAATGGATCGAGTTGCATCTTATGCCAGTGTCACAAAGGGTGTAGTTTGACAATTCTTGAAGAAAGAGATCATTTACAAATATAGAACACCCGAGAGGATTATTTTATATAACACTTTAAATCTAAACAATGACTGGATGGCTGAAATTTGCACCAAGTTCAAAATCAAACATCATAATTTGGGTCCTTATCGTCCAAAGATGAATGGGGCAGGAAAGGCAACAAATAAGAACATCAAAAAGATTTTCAAGAAGACTATTAAGACATATAAGGATTGGCACAAAAAGTTACCCTTTGCTCTACTTGCTTATTGCACCTTTATTTGTACATCGACTGAGGCAACACCATTCTCACTAATCTATGGAATGGAAACAATTTTACCAATCGAAGTAGAAATCCCTTCGTTGAGAGTACTGATAGAACTAAAATTAGAGAAGCAGATTGGGTACAGAATATGTTCGACCAGATTAACTTAATTAAGGAAAAAGGTTAAGAGTTATTTGTCATGGCCAGATATATCAGAAGAGGGAGACTTGGTGTTGAAAAAGATTCTTCCTATAAAAATAGACTTTTGAGGGAAGTGGATGCAAAATTGGGAAGGCTCTTAGGTCGTGAAAAATTCTTTTTCATAGGAACTCTGATTTTGACTGAAATGAAAGGAGACGAGTTGCCTAATCATGTGAATTTTGATTCAGTCAAGTGATACTATACATGAAGAAAAAAAAGAGAAAAATGAAAAATAAATGAAAAAATGAAGAAAAAAGGGTAATTAAAAGGGGGTTCAAGATGAAAAACCAAAAATGGGAATCTTGAAACCAAAGGAGGATTCAAGTTGAAAATCCGCAAATGATGGCTCGAATATTCAGGATTTGGCTTACGAATGGTGGATTCCCTTGAAAGCCTGACAGTTAAGGGAGAGATTCTCATGCTCAAATATCTCTAGTACGATCTAAATCCTCTAGACACATGTTAATCATCATAAAAGACTATTGGAGATGAGGTAGAAGAATTCCTGCACTTAATACTAGGGGTACGTGGTTTTGTTCTTATTGTAATGTTTGCTTACTTCTTGAAAGAAAATTAACCCCAAAGGATGACACCTTTTTTATTTTTATTGTTAATAATAATAGTTAATTATACCGTATGACTTCTTTTCATAAGCATCGTGCATATAAAATATTAGTTAATAACATTTTGCTATAAGAAAGGGTTATTATGCTTTATTTTGAGGAAAGTTAAGGTTTAGGGGCTTCAAAAAATTTGTTTACGAACAAAACATGAATGAATCTACCCCTCAGTATCTCCTGGTGATTGATAAGGACATGCACTAAGGTGATTTCAATCAATCCATCAAGATAAAGAGAGTTGGGACATGAGCTTGTCTTCAAAGAAATTTCGATCGGGGATATATTTGGTTGAAATTTAAATCATTTCAATAAAAATTGAATTTGCAAAGAGACCTGGTTCTCTAATCAAATTAGAGGAAGCATTTTTTAGGCAAAAATGGGCAGAGTGGTGGCCAAGTAGTATAGGGACCAAGATCGTAAAAACACGAGTCATAATTCCCGGATTAAAACATGCAAAATTGCATCCAACATTCATCATATCAAATTCAATTAGATCATCTTTAGGACATGTTGCATATGACATGGAATCATAACATATTACTTGTTTTAACATGATCTAGAAAGCCCATATTATTAGTAGAACCATCATCTTTCAATTATGACCATATCTCCTCAATACGAAGGAGCAATGTTATCATCAGAATTGACATCAACCGAATTACTAAAAGTGACCCGATCTCAAAATTAGAGGAAGCATTTTCGAGGTAGGAATGGACATAGTAGTAGCCAAGTAGTATAGGGGCCAAGATCGCAAAAACACGAGTAACAAGGTAAAATTCATATGTTATGATTGAAGATCGATCACTGAAAATGAAAAAGTCACAGTTCTCGTATTAAAACACGCAAAACTGCATCCAACATTCATCATATCAAATTGAATTAGATTATCTTTAGGACATGTTGCATATGACATGTATGGAATCATAGCATATTACTTGTTTTAACGGGATCCAGAAAGCCCATGTCATTAGTAGATCCATCATTTTTCAATTATGACCATATCTCCTTAACACGAAGGAACAATGTCATCATCAGAATTGACATCAAGTGAATTACTAAAAGTGACCCGATCTCCTCATCACGTAGGAGGTGTATCATTTTCAAATCAAATAATTTACAGACAACCAGACTTCCTCAACACAAAGAAACAATAGTGTCTACACATGAATAATTACCCAAGTACGACTAGACATCCTCAACGCGAAGGAACCATGTCGTTTATTGACTAGATATCCTCAATGCGAATGAGCAATGTCATCGTCAAATTTAACCTCGAGCAAATTACTCAAGGTGACCATATCCCCTCATCATGTAGATAAACACAATCATTTTAAGTGTGACCAAGATGTCTTCATCAAGAAGGAATATGGTCATTGACAAACACGAGGTCCCCAAATTGGAGGGTCACATCATTAGAATGTAAATCGACACTCTCAACAAGAAGGACGAAGCCATTTTCAAATTCTCTGCTTCGAAATGAGAAACTCTCGATTCAAAATAAACATCAAGGTCAAACAAAATATTATCTTTGGTCTTTGTCAAATTCTCGTCACTCAACAATGGGCAAATAGGGGCAATTGTAGACATTATATTTTGTCTGAGCTTATATATATGTTGTACTTAATTAAATTATAGGTATTATGTTTTAATGGTTAAAGAATAGTGATCGTTAATATTGATTAGGTGTTATTAATTGTTAATGTGGTAGTAATTGTTAATATTAATTGTGTTAGTAATTGTCAATACTAATTACGTGTTAGTAATTGTTAAATATTGATAATGTGTTAGAAATTGTTGGTATTAATTTATGTTTTAGAAATTGTTGATTTTGTTCTAGTCATTGTTAATTATGTTTTAGTAATTGTGGATTAGGGTTTATTAGTTAACGTGGGTTGTGTCTAGTTGTCAATGTTGATTATATTTAACTTGAATTTAATTTTTAAATTAGATTAGTATGTTTTACATATGCAACATAATTAATTATAATATTTATACTTATTTATTTTTTATTTTATTTTTAGGTTACAACAAAAGGGTCCAAATGCAACCCAAAAAAATGGGCCCAATATTACAAGACCAACCCATGACACACAAACAGGCCAAGACCCAGCTATGGCCCAAAGACAAGTAACCAGGCCCAAAGAATTGGCCCAATCTGCCAACCCAGTAATTAGGGTTTCGTATTCTCACCCCAGCCGTTAGGTGATTTCGGTCATTGGATCGGCCCTTGATCCAACAACCCAGATGAGATGGAGTCCTATTGTTTCATCATAACCCTTAGGATGGATGCGCCGCCGCTGGCTAGCCCTGCTGCCACTGTCGAATAGCTGCGCCGCCACTGGCAGTCCTGTCATTGCCACTACTGCCCGTTCCTGCAATGCCGTCAACCGTTGTCACCTCAGCCAACTATCAACACATATCATTCAATCAGAAAAGAGGCAAAAAATCAATAATTTTTTTATAATTTTTTATTACATATAAAACAAAGAACACAATCCCAAATATCACATTCGAGGTTGACACCAAGAACAATCACATCTCATCTCATCGACAGCACAAATATAGTGAAATGATGACATGCAATGCCCAATTCATATAAAAGGGGAGCCTTGGGCCACTTTTTGGGGCTGAACATTCAAAAAAACGAACAAGAGAGATAAAAAAACTTGAATCGAAAGCATATAAGAAAAAGAGCGCTTCACCTCTCGAGCTTGAAGAATTCCATGTCGTCGGAGCCGATAGAGCGCCCAATCATATAAGGTAGTTTCCGTTCTTGATTTTTGGGTTTTTCAAAGAGCGTGAGAGGGTTGAAATAATAAAGTAATGGTTAGTTCGTTCTGAAAAATGGGTAATAGGGTGTTTAGATAACCTTTGGACCTTCATCAGGGTCTCTTAAGTGTTGCGACCAGAGGGATTTAGGTCTCTCGATCGAGAGAAGGAAAAGAAAAAAAGAAATGAGAGAAAGAGAGAGTAAAACGACAGGGGAGAAGAAATATAATGAAAGTTATGGCATATTTTTTTAATGGGATATATATATTGTCTAAAATGACGTCGAATTTGGGGATTTAGGGTTTCTTGAAACTAGCGCATAAGCTTACAGTGTGAGGGGTCACCCTAACTTTGTAAATTTACATTTTAGTCAAATGTAAATCTTTCATATTATATTTTGGATTTCTAATTTTGTTGCGGTTTCATTTTAGTCCTTTTTTATTTATTGCTAAGTTACGGCTTAATTGTTGATTTTCCTTGATGATTTATGGTTATTTCATTTTGATCCTTTCGCATGTCTAAGTTTAATTTTGCTATATTTATATTTTAGGTCCTCAAAACTTGTTTAATATTTATTTTAGTCATCGTTTATAATACAACAACAATAACAACAAAATCATATTCCCATATGTGATGGGGTAAGGGGAGGTAGGGTAATAGGCTGTCTCCAAACGGCAGGTTGAGAGCAGCTTCCGTGAAAGACCTCCGGCAGTCAAAAAATTAAAAATAAAGATAAAATACAATGCATGTTTAAATAAATAAATAAAATACGTAGTTGGACAATCTTCATATGCAGTTTTTATATGCACGTCTGTAATGAGAAGTAATCCCTGCAAATACACCCCTGCGTAAAAATATCTGCATATAAACAGAAAAGTAAGACTAGTCCAAAATTATAAAAAGGAAACATGAATATATATATATATATATATATTATTTTTTATTTTGTTATTTTGATTTAAGTCACCCTATGATTATTTGTGCATCTATTTTGTGATGGATATATATATATATTATTTTAAATGATTTTTTAATATGTATGTGTAGACACCCGTTTTTGACCAGATTTTATATTTTTATTTTTATTATTATAATTTATTTATTATTATTAATAAGTTTTTTATTTTATTTTTTATAGGACCCTATGTTTAACCCCACTAGTCCACTACCCTTCCACCACTACCATGCTATCATAAATCAAGGAGGGAGTTGTTTTGAGTGGGGATCAGCTAGGAACTTAGTGGGGACCCTCCTGTTATTTAAAGATGGGGATGTGCAAGCCATGGAGGGGGGATTTTTTTGATTGGTTTTGATCCTATGAGAAAGGGGGGATTTTATTGATTGGTTCAGATCCCATGAGAAAGGGGGGGCACCATTTTTTTGTTTTAATAATGGAGACATGCACTTTTCCATTGGAGGGCTATACGTTTTCTCCCTTCCCATTTCCTTTCTCTGGTTTTGTCGAACAGAAATGGAGTCAGAAAAACAAAACATTAATAAAAACCACTAAAACTCGAAGGTGGTCTCGCTCACCTCAAGTCATCCACCATTAATGGAGTCTTTAGCCTTATCATCATCTCTCCTAACCCCACCAATCCATTCTCTCTCCTCTTCCCGCTACGACCTTGTAAATGCTTCAACTAGCCACCAAGCTCCAAACCTAAGCTTATCATTACGCAAAAGTCATCTTCAATACCAAAGTCATGAGATTTGGTGGTCCGTTCACAACAGCTCAGACACCCAATCATTTCTCCTCGTGACCATCGGGGCACGTTGTCTGCTCTCTTCACCATCGGGGCTTTTGGTATATAGTCCGAGAAAACGAAGATTGGAAGTAGGGACACCGCGGCTTGCTTTCCTGCTTGGGTTAGATTTTGCCGCGCAAACCGCACATAGTGATCCACCATGATCTGAAGCAGGTACGATACTAACGATCCACTGCAAATCGATGAGCAACAACTACAATTCTCCGACGAGGAATGAGGTGATCAACTCACTCAGAGTAAGAGACAGAGGACAGCCGGTGGTGTCGGTGGCGAATGAAGAGAAGAATATGGTACGGCTGGAATTCTCGGTGTCGCTATCGAAGCAAGAGATCGAGGAGGATTTAATGGTTATGGTTGGGCGTCACTCGCGGAAGAGGCCAAAGAAACGCGCATGTTATGTTCAAAAGGAATTGGATCTGACGGAGGTGACGGCGGATTCTTACAATATTTCAGGGCTCACTGGACACGGCAATAGATGAAAATCCATGGATTGTTTGCGTTAGCTGATTTATGGTAATTTTATAACGATAAGTAGTGTTAAAGACTGTCTTGTGCAAATCGGAAATATTTCATATAAACGTTGAAATTCCCTACAACTTTCTGGTGTAGTTTCAGTTTCTAGTGATGCTCTTCATTAATTTCTTTTAGTTTCATTTTATTATTTTATTATTTTTGTACTAACTTTTATTTATCTTTGTTATCTATTTTATTTATTTTATTATTATTATTATATTAATTTTTTCCTTCTTTTTTCATATTTATTTTTATTTTATAATCTAACAATTTTTTTATTTTTTAGGGTATTTTCAATTAATCAAAGGTAAGTAATTTGAATCGAATTTTTAAATTTTGATTTAAATTTTAATTTTCGTAATTAAGACAACCGACAAATTAATTGGTACCGAAAGGGCAATTCAAGGGTGCTAATCCTTCCTTGACTGTAACCGACTCCCGAATCCGGCACATCTTTGGAAAGAAGCAAATCATGTAAGAAATAGGGTATCCGATCAACCCATTTGTTTTAAAATAAATGATCGGTGGCGACTCTAACCCAATTTATTCAAATTGAAGCCCGATTCCAGGCCCAACCGAAAGACGGTTCCGACAGCTTGGCGGTTCTGCTGGGGACAGGTAAGTGAGTTAGGCCAGAATTAATTTTCAGTTATCTTTTTATGCGAAAATGGTAAATTTTAATTTATTTATTCGATTCTAATTATTTATCTTTGATTATTTTTCAAATAAATAGTCGTACTGACATTTTTTAATGATTTCAGATTTTTTCAAAATTGTCATCTCTAAGCTCTAAACCCGAGCTCCGAACCCGTTTTAAGTGAGGGTGAAAGCGACGCATTCGTGTGAATTTATTCACCGCATATGCCTAGCAAGTAGCCTTCGGGATCCATATACCTTATGTCTTCGTGTGAATTTATTCACCGTGCGGGCATAAGGGAATGTGTCCTATCGAGTTTAACTTAGTCCACACAAGCTTGTAATAGGCTTAGGACTAAGGGTCTGACAAGCCCATGGGGGCACCGGCAAGGAGAACTCGAGTACCTTTTTTTAGAACCTAAACCGGGAGAATACAAAGAATTAGAGCTCACCCCAAAGCCTCATTTCAAACCCTAGGCTGCTTTGTTTCCTGCTTTACTTTATGTTTAAAGCATGCGAATTAGACAAATATGCGGTTAAGATTTGTTTGAAATTAGCATGCGGGATAGAGATCATGTCCAGGTAGGAATTGAAGCATGTGGAGTAGGATTTTTCATTTTTTTATTTACCTCACTAACTCTTTTTATTTTTTATTCTCTTTCATTTTGTTTTCATCATTCACATCATTTAAAAGAGGTGTTGATCCACCAAAAACGTGTTTGTTAAACATAAATAATTTGCATTAATGGACAAAGGGGTTGTAATACCAGAGATGAAAATGCAAAGGACAGTCTATAAGACGACTATGTGTCATATTCAATCCGGAAGACGTGGTGCCCACAATTGAAGAGTATATCACTCTGTTGCATTATAAAGGACTAAGAATGAACCGGGTCTACATCAAGCACAATGAAAGTCTATCTTTGAAGAACAGACTAACAGAGTTTGCAGGGACAAGATGAAGGTTATTGATCTTGGGAGTCCCTTCAAAGACAAAAATGGCAAAACGATAGGTGAAATTGGATATCATTGTTGACGAATTCAAGAAGCAAACAAATGAACTTCACATAGTTCCTATCAATTGAGGGCTACAATGACGTATTCGTTGGGAACATGTTCAACAAAATATAAATGCCAGAGATGCAGTTATTCGAGACTTCTTGGGCCAGTACAAAAAGCAACTCAATATTTGCACGGCTCATCCGGAGAAGCCAAAGTGGTTCGACAGGTTATTCAACCGGTGACAGACGAAGGCAGAAGACTAATCAACATGTCAGAAACTGTTAGGATATTTTTGTCTCTTAAAAGATAAAACACTTTTGTCCCAATAAGGATTATTTCTAATAACAGACACATTTTTGGATCAATGCCTCGAACATTGCATGCATTATGCATTTAAACATATTTTGCATTTTGTTATTTTCATTTCTTTACGTTCACATTATTTTTCTCTTTTTTTATTCACATGTCTCATAAAAATGAGAACATTTCAATCCTATTCTCATGATCTACGAGAAACTTTAACAACAACTTCTTGACACCCACGTAGTGTCACCATATCCGGTGGAACCCATGAAGCCCCCATACCTCAAGTGGTATGATGAGAGTGCTCATTGTGAGTATCACGGCGGTGTTCCAGGGCACACTATTGAGAACTGTTACGCATTCAAGAGAGCCGTACAGAAGATGCGTAACCAGAACTGGATCGACTTCAACAACTTGGGGGCATCCAAGTGAGGGAGATCATTTCATCACTTGAGGCATTCTGTTTGAACTTGTTTTTTTTTCACTTTTTCAAGTTTTTATAAGAAATTTGAATAAATTTATGTTACTTTAATGATGACGAGCAATGAATCACATTTGTAAACTTGCAATTCTTTGAATATCATTTGAATTAAGAAAATCTGTGAATGGTTCAAAGTTACGGATCTTTGACAAAGTAACATGTTTTAAAACAAGGACCTTGACCTTACCCAGAATATACCCTCAAACACTGTACCCCGCTCTTGCAATTAGCCAATATAACATTTTCCTTTCATAAGGTGCGGGCAACATGGGGCAACCTTTTGCATATGACATTATTATACTTTTTATTTAAGACGTTCAGTGATGATATTGATCTTCACAGATGGAATAGTCGAGTAAGTGAATCTAGTTTAGGTCAGTTGCTTGAAAATTGAACTCTAAAGATGAAATTTTTTACTTTCAACAAACACCTAGACTATAACAGGTTCTTCTTGACAATCTTAAGAAATTTAATCCGTAAAACTGAGCTATTCCACTAAGACAATTGGTTATAGAGGAAACTCGAAAGCCCTGACTTTATGAATAGATGTCATTCAAACCATGACATTGCTCGGACACTTGGCAATTCGGTGTTTGCTCCACTGCTTTTGTCAGGCCGAAGACTTTGTGATGAGATGAACCCTTCAGTTAACTTGATAAAAATGATTATAATGATAAGTTGTCCCTCTAAAGCAATTGGTTAAACGCCCCGGCTTTATGGATTCAGTTAGCCAGATAACGGTAAATTAAATCGAATTTATCTAAGCATAAAGTTTCGGTAAAATGGACTAAGGGAATTAAGGAACATCTGTTATAGTCAATTTCACACGAGCACTCAAGAATTTCATTTTTAGACCGATATTTTTGCACTGCCTTCGTTAGAGGAGCCTACAAAGCTTGAACAAATTGAAGATTTCAGAGGACCGAAATAAAAGGTCTTGTAATTGATCATGCTAGTTGCGTCATTTTGTCCGTACCCAATTGAAATACCAAAGCATATTTCGATATTTAAAAAAATGACATTTTAGGTTACCAAAACCTTAGAAAGGAGGCTAACCTAAAGCCAACTCATCCATTTGAACATTTGTCAAAGATTTGTAAATCTGAAAGCATTAAAAGAGCTCTTGATTTCTTTGATATTTTTTGAACTCACATTTACAATTTGATTCAATTGCGAACAATATTTTACAATATTTTTATCATGTCTCTCTCCTAAAACAAGAAAAAGGAGAAAAACATTTTCAAGCAGAACAGTCTCAGATATGAAAGGTTTGTAAAGCCAAAGCTCGTGAAGTAAATGGGGCACGATCTATTCCAAGGACCTGATTGACAGACAAAGCACGAGACTCCATCTAGAAGATAACACATAATTCATTCATATTGCATGCATCTTAAACATACTTAGGTGCATCACATTCATCATTTTAGCATACACGTTTTTGCAGCTTTTAGAGTCAAGTTTTGACTTCAGGATGAAGGATACTCGATTCTCAAGCGCCTTCAAAGAAGGATGGTGGTTGATTAACTCAGCAGTAAGAAGCTACACCTCAACCGACTTGACATCTTAGAACCAATTTCAGATAGGTTTGAGAACCAGTTCAAAACAAATCCAGTTCGACACAAACTCAACCATGAGCAGTATGTTTCCAGTTAACACTTTCAAGCCAGATTTCAATTCCACGACGGAAGATATCCGGCTCACAAAATTTGGCGAAAGGGGCCATCATTCATTTAAAGGAAATTTACAGCACAACTTAAGTCAAGAAAAGTTATCTGTCAACAAACAACTTTCTAATTTCATTCAGAGTCTATTTCAACTTCGCAGCGAAGAAAATTAGACTCCAGACAACGCAAGTTCAACTTCACGACGAAGGGACCGCTGGTTGTCAATAAACAATTTTCCACTTCTAGAGCCAATTTCAACTTCACAACGAAGGATATTGGACTCCAGACAATGCAAGTTCAACTTCACGACGAAGGGACCGCTGGTTGTCAATAAATAACTTCCCAATTTCAGAGCCAATAAGGATATTGGACTCCAGACAACGCATATTCAACTTCATGACGAAGGGACCGCTGGTTGTCAACAAATAACTTCTCAATTTTAGAGCCAATTTCAACTTCACAGCGAAGGATATTGGACTCCAGACAACGCATGTTCAACTTCACGACGAAGGGACCCATGGTTGTCAACAGACAACTTCTCAATTTCAGAGCCAATTTCAACTTCACAACGAAGGATATTGGACTCCAGACAACGCAAGTTCAACTTTACGACGAAGGGACTGCTGGTTGTCAATAAACATTTTCCCAATATCAGAGCCAATTTCAACTTCACAGCGAAGGATATTGGACTCCAGACAACGCATGTTCAACTTCACGACGAAGGGACCGCTGGTTGTCAACAAACAACTTCTCAATTTCAGAGCCAATTTCAACTTCACAACGAAGGATATTGGACTCCAGACAACGCAAGTTCAACTTCACGACGAAGGGACCGCTGGTTGTCAACAAACAACTTCCCAATTTCAGAGCCAATTTCAACTTCACAACGAAGGATATTGGACTCCAGACAACGCAAGTTCAACTTCACGACGAAGGGACCGCTGGTTGTCAACAAACAATTTCCCAGTTCCAGAGCCAATTTCAACTTCACGGCGGAGGATATTGGACTTGGAACAATACAACTTACTTGGATTTCAACTTCACGATGAAGGATATCCAATTCCAGGCTCAGCTTAACGACGAAGGGTCACCCGCGGTTTCAACTTCATGACGAAGGGAATCGTGCACACAAGAAGCATCAATCTCTAGATTGGATTTGAACCTCGCGACGAAGGATATCCAACTCAAAGAAGGATTATTTGTCAACAAAGACCTTCGAGTTCGACTACGCTCAGCTCCGAGGCACATCATTTGCAGCACAACTTAAGTCGAGAAGGGCTATCTGCCAACCAAAGACCTGACGAGTTCGATTTCATTCAGCTCGATGACAGCGATGAATTGCTTTCTGGATAAATTTTCAAGCCGAAATCTTTAAACCGAAAAGAAGACAAAGGCCCAATTCCAGGAAGCTCAATCACATTTGAGAAGACCAGACAAAAACTGGTTGTCTTTTTCGTCTTTTTCCTATTCTTGTTAACACAAGAATGTGCAAAGAGGGGCAGCTGTAGACACCCGTTTTTGACCGGATTTTATATTTTTATTTTTATTATTATAATTTATTTATTATTATTAATAAATTTTTTATTTTATTTTTATAGGACCATATGTTCAACCCCACTAGTCCACTACCCTTCCACCACTACCATGCCATCATAAATCAAGGAGGGAGTTGTTTTGAGTGGGGATCAGCTAGGAACTTAGTGGGGACCCTCCTGTTATTTAAAGATGGGGACGTGCAAGCCATGGAGGGGGGATTTTTTTTATTGGTTTTGATCATATGAGAAAAGGGGGATTTTATTGATTGGTTCTGATCCCATGAGAAAGGGGGGTACCATTTTTTTGTTTTAATAATGGAGACATGCACTTTTCCATTGGAGGGCTATACGTTTTCTCCCTTCCCATTTCCTTTCTCTGGTTTTGTCGAACAGAAATGGAGTCAGAAAAATAAAACATTAATAAAAACCACTAAAATTGGAAGGTGGTCTCGCTCACCTCAAGTCATCCACCATTAATGGAGTCTTCAGCCTTATCATCATCTCTCCTAACCCCACCAATCCATTCTCTCTCCTCTTCCCGCTACGACCTTGTAAATGCTTCAACTAGCCACCAAGCTCCAAACCTAAGCTTATCATTACGCAAAAGTCATCTTCAATACCAAAGTCATGAGATTTGGTGGTCCGTTCACAACAGCTCAGACACCCAATCATTTCTCCTCGTGACCATCGGTGCACGTTGTCTGCTCTCTTCACCATCGGGGCTTTTGGTATATGGTCCGAGAAAACGAAGATTGGAAGTAAGGGACACCACGGCTTGCTTTCCTGCTTGGGTCAGATTTTGCCGCGCAAACCGCACATAGTGATCCACCATGATCTGAAGCAGGTACGATACTAACGATCCACTGCAAATCGATGAGCAACAACTACAATTCTCCGACGAGGAATGAGGTGATCAACTCACTCAGAGTAAGAGACAGAGGACAGCCGATGGTGTCGGTGGCGAATGAAGAGAAGAAGATGGTACGGCTGGAATTCTCGGTGTCGCTGTCGAAGCAAGAGATCGAGGAGGATTTAATGGTTATGGTTGGGCGTCACTCGCGGAAGAGGCCAAAGAAACGCGCATGTTATGTTCAAAAGGAATTGGATCTGACGGAGGTGACGGCGGATTCTTACAATATTCCGGGGCTCATTGGACACGGCAATAGATGAAAATCCATGGATTGTTTGCGTTAGCTGATTTATGGTAATTTTATAACGATAAGTAGTGTTAAAGAGTATCTTGTGCAAATCGGAAATATTTCATATAAACGTTGAAATTCCCTACAACTTTCTGGTGTAGTTTCAGTTTCTAGTGATGCTCTTCATTAATTTCTTTTAGTTTCATTTTATTATTTTATTATTTTTGTACTAACTTTTATTTATCTTTGTTATCTATTTTATTTATTTTATTATTATATTAATTTTTTCCTTCTTTTTTCATATTTTTTTATTTTATAATCTAACAATTTTTTTATTTTTTAGGGTATTTTTAATTAATCAAAGGTAAGTAATTTGAATCGATTTTTTAAATTTTGGTTTAAATTTTAATTTTTGTAATTAAGACAACCGACAAATTAATTGGTACCGAAAGGGCAGTTCAAGGGTGCTAATCCTTCCTTAACTGTAACCGACTCCCGAATCCGACACATCTTTGGAAAGAAGCAGATCAGATAAGAAATAGGGTATCCGATCAACCCATTTGTTTTAAAATAAATGATCGGTGGCGACTCTAATCCAATTTATTCAAGTCGAAGCCCGATTCCAGGCCCAACCGAAAGATGGTTCTGACAGTATGAATATAGGGTTTTATAATATAGTTTTTATATATATATATTTGATAATTTATGAATGTATTTAGGTATTAATAGAAAAGTTTCATTATTGAATATATTTAAATGATAAATTTGGTATTATTAATATCATGAAGTTATAAAAAAAATTGCTTAGCTATTCGATTAATCTATGGAAGACCTTCAAATACTTAAGATGCCCTTCCAAGGGTTATTTGAATAAAATAAATTTAATATTTTATTGCTCACTAAGTCAATTAAATGTACGTTTTTATTTATTTAAATAATATTTTGTTGAATAATATATATATATATATATATATATATATATTCAATTGGACATATGATCTTTATATAATTATTCTGATAATTATAAATGTTTGTTTTTTTAATTTATTTCGTGTGTTTACTTACCTTTGTTTAACACGTTTTGTGTATTTACCCCTGTTTAGTTCTATTAGATTTTATTAAATATAATATTCGTCGTTTATATTTTATTAATGCTACATTCATATGTTATATATTTGCCTTTCTCATTTTTCTGAAAATTTAAAGGAAATGTTGTCTAGTGTCGTGCGTTAACGGAATTACGTCAAATAATTAGATTTTAATTTATGTTAATTAACATAGCTAGGGAACATCCTTTTCAAATAAAACGAGTGAATTGAATCATCTTTATTGAGACAAATATTTTATAATTAATATTTTTTTTCAAAGTTCATAGAAATAGAAAGGATCGTAATTTTAAGTCTTAAGCTCAAATATATAAAAAAATTTCATTTTAGGCAATGTATAATTGAGGGTACTAATTTTGGGAGTTGTGGGGTGTTCACCCTTCTTCACACGTAACCGATTCTTGAACCCTTTAAAATGAATATTTGGTAAACGTAGGTCAATTATTGTCTTAAAATGATTTAAAAATATTTGATAAAAACATTTTAAGTATTCGACTTACCTAATCCAAAGGTTGATAACGACTCTAAAATTAAATCAAAATAAAACCAAAAAATCTAAAATTTCCAAACTAAAATTATCATTACTTTAAATTAAAATCAAAATTTCATCTGGCTGGATAAAAAGAGCAAAGAATCTCAAAATTTACATGAAATATTGAAAGAGATTTTGGTAACACACATCCCATTTTTCAAATACTAATTAACCAAGGAGATAAATTTTTTAGAATTTTCTTAATTTCATTTCATTTAATACATCTAGTCTTACTATAAAATAAGAATTCAAACTTTAAATTATATATATATTTATTTAATTCTAAAAAATGATGAGCAAGAGTTAAATTAACCCTAAAGTGCTTCACTATACATTTGTTACTATTCTAACAAATAATATTCGGAAATGGCGGGAAACTTGGCGCCCAGATTTGCAAACGCATTATATAATTAAGAGTAAACTACACGGGTGACCACCAAACTATGGTCATTAATCGATCTTGTCACTGAATTATTTTTTGTCTCAATTCGACCACCGAACTTTTTAATTGACTCAATAAGACCACTCTCCGTTAAAAAAACGGACTTGTTGACGTGTCCGTTAATAAAACTTGCATAATTATATATTTTGTCTTTAATATTTACATATTCTATCAATTTAGTCACTATTTTAATTAATTAATTAAATTTAACTATCTAATTAGAACATAACACGTGTCAATACATGATTGAAAGGTTTTATTTATGATTTTTAAATTATTAAATTAAATGATTTTTAACCAATCAGGTGGTAACACGTGTCACCACCCAATTGAAATGAGAAATTGAAGAACAAATTTGCACTCTAAGGGATTCGAACCCACGTCTAAGGGGGGAGAATAATTAGACGCTCAAACCATTGGGCGAAAGCTCTCCAATGATTCTAACGTACAACAATTTATATTTGACTTGTACTGTTAAACAAATTATTTGGTTAAATAAATTTTAGTTCGATTAATAGTTACAGAAAAAAATTCGGTTAATTCGATTCGATTAATAATTTTCAAACAAATTTTGGTACGATTAACAGTTAAGAAAAAATAATTTATTTGAAAATTATTAAACGAATCAAATTAACCTAAATTTATTTGAAAATTATTAACCGAACCAAATTAATCGATTTTTTCTTTAACATTAATCGAACCGAAATTATTTGACCGTTAATTGAACCGAAATATATTTGAAAATTATTAACCGAATCAAATTAACCGAATTTTTTTTCTTTAACATTAATCTAACCGAAATTATTTGACCGTTAATCAAACCGAAATTTGTTTGAAAATTATTAACCGAATTTTTTTATTTAACCATTAATCGAACCCAAATTATTTTACCGTTAATCGAACCTAAATTTATTTGAAAATTATTAACCGAATAAAATAAATTATTTTTTCCTTAACCGTTAATCTAACCAAAATTTATTTGAAAATTATTAACGGAACCAAATCAACTTATTATTTTCTTTAACTATTAATTGAACTGAAATTATTTGACCATTAATCTAATCGAATTTTTTTTGAAAATTATTAATCGAATTAACTGAATAAAATAAATGATTTTTTTCTTAATCATTAATCGAACCAAAATTTATTTGAAAATTATTAACCGAATCGAATTATGCGAATTTTTTGTAACCATTAATTGAACTGAAATTTATTTAACCAAATAATTTGTTTAACGGTACAAGTCAAATACAAACCGTTATATGTTAGAATCATTGAGTAGCTTTGGCCCAACGGTTTGGGCGTCTGGCTATTCTCCCCTACCCCTTGGACGCAAGTTCGAATCTGTTGGAGCGCAAATTTGTTCTTCAATTTTTCATTTCAATTGGGTGGTGACACGCTGTTGGAGCACAAATTTGTTCTTCAATTTTTCATTTCAATTGGGTGGTGACACGTGTCACCACCTGTTTGGTTAAAAAATCATTTAATTAAATAATTTAAAATTCATAAATAAAACATTTCAATCATGTATTGACACGTGTTATGTTCTAATTGGATAATTAAATTTATTTAATTGAATTAAAATAGTGACTAAATTGATAGAATGTGTAAATATTAAAGACCAAATATATAATTATGCCAATTTTATTAACGGGCACGTCAACATGTCCGTATTTTTTAACGAAGAGTGGTCTGATTGAGTCAATTAAAAAGTTCGATGGTTGAATTGATACAAAAAATAATTCGGTGGCAAGATTAATTAATGACCATAGTTTGATGGTCACCCGTGTAGTTTACCCTATAATTAATCACAATCTCTTATTCTTCAAATTTAAACACCATTTATTGGAATAAACCGTCTATTTTCATTTCGTTCTCAGGATCCTTAATCATGGCTCAAATCAACAACAGCCCTGAAATCAAAGCGCCATCCCAAGAAATCCCCAAACTCGGTCACAATGGAGTTAAACTTACCAAAGCGCAGTCTCAGTTTTGAGAGTAAAAAAGCTCTCTAAAAAAGCGGTGTTGCCCTCAAGAGGCTCTCCTCTTGCTGCTGGATACGATCTGTCAAGGTAACCCTTGGATTCACTATACATTTGGTGGGCGTTTTTTTTAATGTCTTATCGTTCATGAATCTCAATTGGGATTGGGATAAATTTTTATAGGTTTATCGTTTTGGGCACAGTGCAATCGACACCAAAGTGCCAGCCAGAGGAAAAGCGCTGGTCGCTACTGATCTAAGCATTTCAATACCCGAAGAAACCTACGCCCGTGTTGGTATAAATCTACTACGATGCTCGAATTTGAATTTGGGTTTTCTACTTTTATAAAATTTTGGATTTTAATAATTTTTTTTGTAGCACCCAGGTCTGGGTTGGCTTGGAAGCATTCCACTGACGTGGGCGCTGGTGTAATCGACGCTGATTACAGGGGACCTCTGGGAGTAATATTGTTCAACCACTCAGAAATTGACTTCGAAGTGAAAGTGGGCGATAGAATTGCGCAGCTAATAATTGAGAAGATAATGACGCCTGATGTGTTGGAAGTTGAGGATTTGGATTCTACTACTAGAGGAACTGGTGGATTTGGATCCACCGGTGTTTAAGTCCTGGGTTTAATTGGTTTAGGATTGTGGGTCGTTTCTTAATGGTTTGAATTTGCTGTTTTAGCTCATTATAGTTTTAGTTGTAAAGAAGTTTTAATGGATCAATGGTATATTCAGTAGTAACTAAGCTCTTTCCCAGATCTTCACATAGCTATAAAAAAAGAATCACGGTTTTTTGTACTTTACAGGGAAAGCAAAAGCTGTGGAAATTTTTTCTCAGTGATACAAACAGAAACCATAAACAAATTATGCTTTAAATAGTTTTAGCCGTTGGGTATTTTCTATATTTAGAATTTACAATTAAACTGTAACATATACGCTTGTGAAAAGATCTCTGGTAATCTCATCAAGAAGTCCATTAAGCACATACTTCTCGGCATCCCTTATGACGTCATCATTCTCATGAAACCCAACCATGGTATTGTGCCAACCCAAGTTCCACATACAATTCAGATCTGGTTCCTTGTTGTAGACATCGTCCTCGAGCATTTTTGGTAGGTAGTATTCAAGGGGAGAATCTTCTCTCCCGTCTCTACCATATAACTTCAACTTCTCAAAGTCCTTGCACATTTGCTTGACCAACTTATCCCAGGATTTTGCTTTGTTTGATGTGATGGATACTTTGAGAAATGGGAACACTTACTTCCTTCCTTCTTCCTTTCCTTGTCATTACTTCGTAGCCACAGTTTAATATGAGCTTGCTGTCTTGATCGTGATAGTTGTGACTGTTTGCATGTAGAATGCTGATAGGAACGTTGAGTTTGAAAAGTGCCTGTGCTGTGTTCATAAATAGTTGGCTTTTCATAAGTATCAGTTTAAGGTGATTTTCACTTTCTGTTAGTGGCTCTGTCATCTCTGGTATGCAAGTCTCTGGCTGTGGGATATAAGAAATTCCTGTTCCCTCTTCATGAGTTCCTAAAAATCATTAACGTAAGATTGTGCTAACATTTCTAGTTGCCCATGTTTTTCCTCCTTGTGATGTAACTGTATCCTGAGCTGGAGGAATCTTGCTGTCAATTGTTTCCTTCTGTTTTGCCGGTGGGAGAGCTGGGGTTGTGGAGTCTTTTGTCCTTTGTTCAGCTTTCTTGATGCTTTCCTGTGCTGGTCTCTTTGTAATTATCCCTTCTACTTTTTTATTTCCGAATTCCTTTTTTGTGGTAACCTTCGAATCTACATTTTCTGGAAGTTCATCGATCACCATCAGCTTGCTATTACATTTGGAATTCTGGACTTCTCTTGTTTGGACTGCAATGGAGTTGAGCGAGTTTGTTCTGAGAATGCAGTGAGACTTTTAGCATCAGGACCATAGCTAACCGACCGCTTGTGAGAATGTAAATTTGAGGCATCTGCAACTTTATTGTCATGCTTGGAATTAGTACCCCTGAAGAGTAGGTAAGAGCTGCCAGCCTCAGCTTAAGTTCTGTTCTTGCAACTTCTTGAATGTCATAATTTCTTGAGGGTCTATCAAAAGAAATATCGGCCTACTCAATTGCGTCTGACCAGCCATCTTGACGGTGTTCTCATCATCATCTTCATCCTCCTCTAGCAGTGTTAACCGACTTTTTCTCTGTGGCATTATTGAGTAATCCGAAGTTTCCTGCATGTTTACAAGTAACGTTAGAGACTCCTCCAAATCCATTGCTCCTTTCAACAATTCACTTCCAATTTCTATCGAATATCTGTTTAAGTTGAGGCCATTAGAGCAGTCGCGGAGGATCTGGTTTAGCTTTTGTGCACCCCTTGATATTTCTTCGATATGGATATGAGAGAGAGTAGGGAGTTGGCTACTTGAAGGTTGCTGCCTGCTTACTGCTCTGTGTTTCTTCTGTCCATCTTCCCGTAGTCCACCTGTCTCCTACCTATGTTCAGTAGAAAACTGAAAATTGAACTAGTTCCCGAAGATTCTGTTCTTATCTTTCCTCCATTTTCAAGTGTGAAATCCAGGGCCATCGACAGATCTCCCTTTTGTTGTGGCTTCTTGCCTCCCTCAAAAGGAACGATCTGATTCGATGCCTGCCCAGTGCTGACTGATTTCCTGCCTCCACTAGGCCTGTTTTGCGTGCCTCCAGCTTTAGAACCAGTCTGAAGGAAGCCAAACATTTAACTAAATAAAATTATTCTATCTGATTAATCTTTCTGTATGAACTGACCATACTTTAGCTGTGGAAACTTACAGATTTGACTGCCTCTGGTTTCCTGGATGATTTATAGGTTGCCTTGGAGTAAGCATATGCATCTGCTCAAACATGCAACAAAAGGAATAGGGTAAAATTCTGCATTTAAGTTTCTTTCTGACGGGGTTTTGCTAGCTAGATAAAGCTCTATTTTCATGAGCCTAGCGTTACACAGGGTTCATTAACCACCACCAAACTGATGAGCAAGGATTTCCATACATCATTTTGCTATGTATTACCTATCCTTCCCCATTAATTTATACCCATTCAGAAATTTTTTCCTTTATGCCATGCTATGCAGTAAAGTTCTCTCATTTTTAAGGTCTACTTTAGGTGAAATGGTTCTGAATCATATGTCTCCAGAAAGAGAGAAAAGAAAGATGTTAATTGGTGCTAAAACGATACATTTCAAGCATTGAATGCATGTGCAAGGCTTCTATGTTTGTCAGTCTGAATTTGCATTCATTAACTTCAGAAAAGTGGACAAGTAAGTCATGCCTCCTGTTTTTCAAACTTCTAGAAGACGTTGAATAAGAACCATAACCAAATTCTAATCACATCCACAGGGTTTTGACTGATATCTAGGAAGGATGTTGGAATCCTTTGACAACCAAGCGTGTTTTAAGCAGAGATTTCAGGGAACTCTCACCTGCAACCTTTGGATTCGAACCCTTTAAGTTCTGACTTCTGAGAGGCAGACATCCGCTCCTTCCGCAACCGAAGATCATCTAACAGCTTCTGGGCAAAATCTGATATCTTTTCCATGCTTGGTATTGAAATGCAAACAAGGTATCACTCTTCAAATCTCTTTGAGCTAGAATAAAGATAAAAATTTCTTTACATTCATGTTTTGCTCATTACTCTAGGAACATGAATGTTCTTTTTCCGCTTCTCTTTTAGTTGGGAGAGTTCTTTCAAATTTGGGTAGGTTGGGGAGTCTAGTCTTGCTTGCAATAAAAATGGAGTTTGAAATTTTTATATTAGATAGTTTGACGTGAAATTTAGCTCTATATCTCTCTCTGGAGGGTCTCTGTAAGTATTTCCTGATTTTGATTCTAATCCAAGCAATGGTAGAGAAAAGGTTCAATTCAAAGGGCTTCCATCCCAAGCCTTCTTAATCAGCATCTTCCCCTTTTTTATTATCCCAATCCCTCCTTATTTCCCTTTAGTAATAACCTTTGCAGCAAACCAATGGTCAATAGGCAAATTGGTCTCCAAATACAAAGTTGTGAACTCTGCATTGATGCTATTGATTTGCTTTGGTTTAATATTTTATGGTTGGAAATAACAGAATAAAATTAAGGGTAAACTATAAGTTTAGTACCTAAACTATTACTTTTGTATCGTTTTAGTACCCAAACTTTATTTTTGCAAAATTATAACCACCTTTTAGTTTAAGTTTCAATTTGGTACCCTGGTGTTAAAAATAACAAAATTGCCGACGTGACATTTTTTATAATTTTTTTTTCAATGATGATGTGTCGTTACCTTATGGTAACACGTCAATATCACCATTAAATTTTTAACGGAGGGTACCAAAATGAAACTTAACCTAGACAATAGGCGTGGTTTTGAAAAGAAAATAAAGTTTGAGTACCAAAATGTAATAAAAGTAATAGTTTAGGGTTTAGTTTACCCTAAAATTAAAGATAGTTAACAATGGCAGGCTTTTGAAAAGGTGGCCTGGGAAGGGAGAGATGAGAGCCGACACTTTTGGGAGCTTTTAACTGATCCCACCGTTACAAAAGAAACAAAATTGGGTGTCAAGTAACTAATCAAAGTGATGAAATTGCATTTTATTTAAACTTAAATAAAGGTGGAACTTTACATGTGATTGTTTTCTTCATGTTGTTCAGATTTTGATGTTTTAAGTGTGTGGGATACAGTTAATTTTTTCCTTCTTTAGAAAACGCTTTTAATTGGTGATGTGTGGTTGAAGTACTTCTAAACTATTTTTACCTACTTCTCGGTCTTCATCTTGAATTAACAACAGGAAAGCCATAATTTTGTAAAGGGGGAAAATGGGACAACAGATGGAATTTCCGATCTATTTTGGTGTGTACATAAAGAAAAAAAATGGCTTCAAATGGAATTCCTAGCACGTAAGCACATGAATTGGGACAGGGCGTACAATCCAAAAGATCAATTGTCATTTTCGTTGGTTATAATAAAGTAATGATTAGTGTGGGGAAAGGTTCATTTATAATATCATTGTGGAACTAGCGGGTGACATTAGCGACTTTTTCGTAAGATGTCTAGATTTAAATAAGAGAAAATCGTCTCAGTGACTAAAAATGTCTTATAATATACGATTTTAATCAATTTTTTTGGATTTGCCAAAATGACCAACAAAATCGCAATGCGATCTCTAATTCGCAACGCGATATCCAGTATCGCAAATTCGCGTTGCGATAGTTGAAAATCGCAACGCGATTTTCCTTTTCGCGTTGCGATAGTTCGTTATTCCATTTCGCGTTGTGATAGTCTACAGTGTCGTTGCGATAATTTTCTCTAAAAAGATAGTATCCGCGCGGACGTGTCGAAGACACGTACTACCACTACCACGACCACGACCACGACCACGACCACGACCACGACCACGACCACACGACCCGACCCGACCCGACCCGACCCGAGACGAGACGGCGGCGGCGGCGGCGCGCGAGAGTCCCCCTTGTTCTCTTTCACTCAACAAGGAAATGGGAAATCCAAGCCTTAAATACACTTCCCATTAGTGTTTCCAATACTATGTGGGATTGAGCATTACTCAACACTTCAAAGAAAATATAGCAATTTTTGTAACATGTTTCCCACTTAATCCACATATCTAAAACATTTTATCATTTTATCAAGAGAATTAAAAGAGTTGTAGATATCTACATTTCAATTCAAACTTATACATATAGTTTTAATATGATAAAATGTTT